AGGTGTACAGTATGTACTATCACAATTGACAAGTATAGTGGGAGTGTAGATTGTGTAGATGTAATATTTGTATGTGCTTCATGGGTCCACAGAGTAAGGGTGAGGTTGTACACAATGTATGAAAGCATTATAATCATTGACATCATGTATAGTGGACTAGGGCACTAGTAGTGCTTTAACTATTAAGTAAAATGATGTTTGTTAATGCCATTTTTTTATTTTTAGAAAAAATAGAAAAATGGCTAAAAGAAGGAAAAGTTGAGCTGAAAGTCACTCGTATCAATATGCATGGTGCACCTGGAGCTGGTAAAACGTGTTCGCAGCACCTCCTACTTAATGAGCCACCACCATCTTGCACAGATAGTACACCGATAGCTTGTCCTGCTATTCGAGCAACAAGAATATCGATTGACGGTAAAAATAAGTGGGAGAGAGTTGAGCTTAAAGATTTATATAAGCAGTTAGCATCTCATTTAAAGGAGGCACCAGATGAAACAAAGCGTGAGAAAAAATCAGATAAAGCATCACTGGATATAGATGATGATGGTTCAGAATCAGACAAAGATGAAACTGATAATGAACCAACTGACAATAAACCAATTGAAAAGGAATCAGCTGAAATTGAGAAAAAACAAACTGAGATTAAACCAGCTGAAACAGAAGTTATGAAAGAAGTTATAAGTGTTCATAGAACTGAAAATGTTAAAAAATTAAGTACAAATTGGGTTTATTTTATTGATTCCGGTGGTCAACCAGCATATCGAGAGTTGCTACCTCTTTTTACAAGAGCAGCTGCACTGAATATCATCACTATTGATCTTACCAAAGGCCTTGATGAGAAGTGCCGGTTTCAATATCATATTAGTCAACATACGTCTCCTATTAATACAGAATTGAAATATTCAAATTGTGGTATAATCCAATCAACAATTAGCTCCGAAGCTATGCTGAATTCCATCAAAATTCCTTATGTCTCTGACATGCCCAAGCACTCGCATTATCTTATACTTGGTACACGTAAAGATGAGTTGGAAAAGAGAGATAAGCTAGGTGAGCTGAATGAAATGAATATACTGCTGCTAAAAGAATATAAAGATAATAGAAAAGTCATTATGCTTAATGAGCGTCAAGGTTTAGTTATATTTCCAGTTAATACGTTGCTCCCTGCTGGGTCTAAGGAAAGAGAAAAAGCTAGTGTAAGTCTTTGTAAAGCAATTTCAAATTTTGGAGTTGAAATGACGATTGAGTTACCAATTCGATTGCTTACTTTTGAGATTTCATTACAGAGGGAAGCTAAGAAGAAGGAACGCAGTTTTCTTACAAAAGAAGAAGCAGTTAAGATTGGTAAGTCTCTTCGACTTGATGATGAATCAGATATTGATGATGCTCTGCAATATCTACATGATGTTACTATCATTCTTTATTATCGTAAGGTTCTACCAAATATAATATTTGTTGATCCTAAGCCAATTCTTGATGTCTTTTCACATCTAATAGCTATCACATATGTTGACCATGATAAATTAGATTTGCTTGCAGAGCCACCTCCTTCAAGAGATGAAACATATAATCTCATAAAATTTGGCCTTTTTAAAGAAGATGTTTTTAAAAAAATTGGTATAAAGTTAAAAATTTTTGATAAGAATTTGAAATCATCTCACATGATCAAGCTTCTAATACACCTCCACATCATTGCTAAAGTTGAAAACAGAAAAGAAGGAGATTACTTTTTTCCGTGTGCATTACCATCTTATGACAAGCTCAATCCTGCCCCAACAGAAATACAACCACTTCTCATAGCATGGGAGATTAACAACAATGGCACAACAACTCTAGCCATCCCTCAAGGATTATTTCCTTTAACCATTGTACATCTTTTAGAACAAAAGGGTAAAGTAGACTTCAGTCCTGATCCTGATTTAGACAATAAATTCTACAGATATCATGATGCCATGTCACTTCGTGTTTACAATAATCACTTTATACACATCATAAATCGTTATACACATATCGAAATACATTTTCGTGGTGACTGCAAAAACTCTTGTCAAAGAATTCGTGAATTAGTCACAGACGCTATCACAAAAAGCAGAAAAGATCTTAATGTTGATGATGATCATATCTTTGCATTCAAATGCCCCCAAAAGGAACGCTACTGCATTGTACGGCAAGATGATAAATCTTCTACCTGGTATTCTCATTGCACTCATTGTGAAACACAATGTAAAGTACTGGAGAGTGATGATAGCTATAAATGCTGGTTTTTTAGTGATTCTCTTTTGTCTAGTCCAGGTTAGTAATACACATAATGAAGCAAATGATATAATTTCGAATTTTAAATCACTTCCATTATTACTATTCATGTTGTGTTTATGTTTATTTCTTAGGAGCTGAAGCATCATCAGAAGATCCACCTTCTAAAAAATGCAAAGAGCAACACACTGCTGGATTAAGTAAATAAATCAATATTAAACAGCATACTTTAATTTCATACAATTTAGGTGCTGCAGGACAATTTAGAAGGATTTCTGCTAGACTTGGAAGGTCCATATCATCTTGCCTGACTACAGTGTCAATGAATCTTAATGCTGAGGGTCTGATAACACAGGAGCTACATGATGAAATGATTAATGGTCGTGATATTGATTCAAAAAAAGCTCCCAAGCTAGTAAATGCAATACAGAGTAGACTTAATACTCACACTAATCCTGAGGCATATCTAAAAGAAGTGTGCTCAGCATTGAAAGATGTTGGAGAGAAACAAATCACTGGCATAGTGAATGAATTGGAACGTAAGTTAAACTAATTTCATTAGTAACTGACATTTTATGATACTATTATAGAGAGTGCCACAGATTGATCCTGCTAACTACTACTTCAAATAATTTATTATTTCTTGTGTGCTTTGGATTTGACTTAAATACATTGTTTGTGTAATTTTTTTATAATGCCTGTTTATTTCAAAATTTTTGTTTTTTTTTTTAATTGTTGTACTGAATAGAAGAAGTTGCTTGAGTATAGCCTTGCACATGTCAT